ACTTATTCAAAAACATATGATTGACACACAATCTATTCCACCATTATTTAGAAGAATAGTTATTAATAAGGATACTCAACCTCTTCAAAAGAGAGTTGAAAGAAAATTAGAAACACAGAAGAAAGTAATGCAAATTAAACAACCAGTGAGTGAACTAAGAAATACACTTCATGATTTATTAAAAACTATTGATAATTGATTTGTGATTATAACTGTTGTTTTAATAAACAGAGAAGTATTTATTTATTATTTTATAATAAGTTATGTGATTTCTATAAGATGAAGAGTTGATTGATATTAGAAATAAAATTTAAATAATTAAACACTTTAAGAGAAAAAGCTATTGTTTTTTAAAGTATGATTGATATCATTATATTATTGATATTTCTTATTCTTAGCATCCTTTTATTAAATCTATTTCATTTATCTATTTATGAAATATGATTAAATAAATACTATATGCAACAATTCTTCACAATGAAAACAAACCTAAAATGAAATAAATACAGAATCATCAATTGAATAAGAACTATATCAAACATAACTAAAAAACAAAATAATAATAAAAGGAAAGCACGAATGGCCGAGTGGTCTAAGGCGTCCGCTTTAGGCGCGGATATCGAAAGATGCGTGGGTTCAAACCCCACTTCGTGCATTTTTAATTTTTATTAAAAATTAATAAAATTTGTTATGTTTTATTTATTTCATCATTCTTCATTTTTATTATCACCTCACCACAACAACACATTCATATTATTATGTCTATCATCAGTAATTGATAAATACATGACCAACAAAAAAAAAGAAAAATAAAAAGAAAGGATAAGTAATAGGATAATAGAATTAAATTAACAAAAAATAATAAATAAAATACATAATAATAATGAAATAAGCAACGGAAATATTGGTATAAAAGAAATAGTCGAGATAAATAAATTTACAGAATAAACAAATTGATATAGTCATATAAAAATAAGGTATTGAATTACTATATAAAAAAACAAATAAAGTACAAACTAATTGTAATTGATCTGTTTTAGTATATTTATTTGGATAGTCCCTTCTGGATAACTGGTGTTTGTTGTTTTAATTCACACCCTCTAGTGTATTTTTCTTTAACGTGTGCAAATATCCTCCTCATTCTTTTTCTTCCTATTTTACAGTAATCCATTGACTCTTGGTAACCCTTTGTTAATTTCTCAAAGCTAGTGATTCAAAATTTACGCCTTTAATTATATCATTAATACTTGACTGTTTTGATTTTACCTCTTGTCTTCTATTTCATTTTTATTCAATAACAAATGGAGAAAAACTTTATTTAGCGAATTCTTTCAGTTTAATCTCTTTTTTAAGTCCCAGTTATATTTCTTATTCAGAGTTATTAATCTTCTTATTTGTTGAAACATTTTTTTAACATTTTCAATAGTTGTAAAACAGTTTGTAAAGAAATTGATTAGTATAAATTCTGTTTATACGACTGTTCTTGTTTTTCATTTTCATAGTTCTCATGTAACATATTCTGGTACGAAGATCTTTAATTATTATATAATAGGTCTTCAAAACCAATTTAAATTCTACATCATTTATATCATTTTTCATTAATACGATGAGTCACTGTATTATTGATTTATTTATATAATATTATCAAGTACAAAATCAGGAATAATAATGTAATATTTAGTATTTTTTGTATTCAGTTTGACACAAAATTCATTTTCATTAATAAATCAATTTCATTAATTGTTTGAATCAACATAAAGAAAGGAGGAGAGATAAGATGAAATGGTAATGAATCAATGTGAGTATTAAGGTAGTGAACAAAAGAAATAAACAAAATGAAAAATAAAAAAAAAATAATTGTAAAATTAACTTATTAATTCAAAAACATACAAAAGATGAATCAACAACCAGTGTATGAAAAAACATATCAGAAACTAAGAATTAGAGAAAATGAAGGGGCTCAACAGAGGAATTTTCAGCACGATGAAATAAACAAAGAGAGTGAACAAACAAAAAAAACAAAATGGTATAAATCTAATGAAATTCAACAAAGACAAATGTCAACAATAAGAGATGACACTACTAAAGAAGGACATAATGAGAAAAGAGAAGATATAAGTAGGAGAGAAATAAATCAAGAACATTATAATTTTGAAAAATACAAAGACATTTTATTAAGAATTAGAACATTAGTTAAAACAATATATCCAATAGCAAATCTAGAATCTGTTAATAGACTGAGTAATTTAATTATTTATAACTTGATTGTGTATGGAATAAATGTTGAAGAATGGAGAGAAATAGAAGAAATCAAGGAATTCAATATTGAAGCTCTTCAAAGAAATGTGATTGACCAAATTGTTTTAACACATAGAAAACATGAAGTAATACTTAAAGCATTATTTGTTGATAAAGTCAAAAGAATAATAACAAGAATCAACGAAGGAAATGTTTTAATTGAGGAAATATATAAATATCCATTAATCGGAACAGAGTGGGGATATGCATTTGATATCGCATTATGTAATGAAATTGTTAAAAAAGGAAATGAAATGTATCATGAATATCTTAATAATCCAATTATTTCATATTATTTAATGTATCAATTTGGAGTTGTTGATGAACAAAAACAAATAGAAATCATTAAAACAAGAATACATTTTCTGATAATGTTATTTAATATGTAATTTAATTGTTTAACATTGTTTATTATTTATTCTAAATGAGAAATTAAATACAATTCAATTTAATTATTCGATTTATTTTATGATTGATAAGAGAATAATGTATTTCTAATAACAACATAATAAATCTATTTTATTTTGTTTTATAATCATATGTTATTTAATTTAGTTATGTTTATAATTATAATTCAATTAATAAAATGTATTGATGTTCATTTAATATTTGATTCTTTGAAATAAACAAGAATTAAAAAGATAATTGATGGAATATATTTAAACATAAATTAAATGTAATAACAAATAATTTGTTTATAAAATAAATGATATTTAAATTAAAAGAAATTCCTTGATAATATAACAGCAATGAATATTTGAAATAAACATTAATTTATAAGTAGAATGATTAACAGTAAATAACTTAGAACTATCACTAATTTATTTATCATTTAAATTATATTAATAAAGAGAAAATATTGAATGAATCATATTAAACATTGTTTCAATTATGATATCATTCCAGTGATGTACTAACTTCATATGATTCATTCTTTCTTCATTTGTAAGAAACAAGGAATGACAATCAGAGATATAACATTGATATGATGGATGAACTAATGAATTAACCTTAAAGAAAGAGTCATGAACTTCACATAAATGAATATCAAGATACCTTTCATTAGAGAAGTTACGATGACAAGATAAACAAATAAATGAATGATTCAATCTCATGTGATGTTCCATTTGGGTTGTTGTTTGACAATCAAATAAACAAAAATCACAATGATATAATTTGTTGTCTTTGATTAAATCTGATTTCCTTTTCATGAATAAATGAAATTTATAGTTTTCTTTTAGAAAAAAAAGAAATGTTCGATTTATCGGCACGAACATCGTAAAGACTCCGTCCGTAATTTGGAAATCATATTCTGGCTGAACCCTTAATTGGAAGTGTATTATTCCCTAAAGAATCTTAACACCTTGACATCAGCAATTATAAAATATCAAATCAATTGGTACTAACTAAATGTATTATTCATTGATTATTATGACTGAAAAACTTTCGTTATATATAACATTTTAATTTCAAAATAAAAAGAAACTAATGAATAACAAAAAAGAACTTAAAAGGGTTGAAGAATAAGAGATTAGATAAAAATAAAAAACTAACATAATTAGAAACGATAAAAAATTGAAACAATTTTAAGATCTGATCAAGATTACTCCTAACAATGAATAATGAAAAATCTCATTCAGAAGTAAGTCGGAATGAAGCTGGCACAGTGATGTTTCAAGAATTAACCCAACAATCTGAAAATTTGATAAATGAACCTTTAGTAAATGTTGTTCCTCAAATCATTTCAGTAAATAAAGATTATGAAACACAAGAAATAAATGGAAATTTACAATTAAAAGAATTTAATGAAGAATTAGAAACACAACATACTCCTCAAACAAAATATTCTTCTAGTATATTAACAAATACTAACCAACCAACCACACCTCAAATTATAACAACAAATATATTAAATACAAATAAAGATGGAATATATGAAGGACTTCCAAAAGTAGGAATAAATAATCAAATTAATACATCAAGAATCATAGATGGTAGATTATT